GACAAGGGGCAGGCTTGTTTTCTAATTACTGAGAGAGTTCAGCTGGTGTCTTGGCTTTCCATCCCTTTCTTCATGTGTTCAATACTTTTTCCCTGTGCCATTCCACATTATTACAAATAACTTCATTTCTGGACATTTATGGTTTGATTTCTTTGTATGTTTGGGTTGTTACCGACATCTAGTGAAAATTTCATGTCATTAGCACCTCTAGTAATATATTTACTGAGAAAAATGTTGATGTGTTCAATACTTATTTTACCCGCTGTATTATCTTTTCTGTGTTGTGCAGTGGAGTTTGAGAAGCTGAAAGGCCTGCCGTGCTTGGTGAACCTGCTTTTTGTTGGAAATCCTCTGGCGAAGCAACACACTAAAAAGGGAAACTGGAGGACTGAAGCTTCTAAAACACTCCCTAACCTGAGGAAACTAGATGGTGAGAGGGATTAAAACAGCTGTGTTTAAAAAAGATGAAAAGGGTTGCAAAGAGTAGCCCCCAGAAAAGTAAAGTAAAATAAAAGTTTTGTGTTCGTTTACACGCCCTACACATATCATAAAACACCGAAGCTTACAAAACAAAACATTTCCTGTGTGAAGCTTAATGTTAGAGTGCAGAAATGTAAATGTTTGGGAGATGGTTTAAGACATTAAAAAGAAATGTTGTCAAGGTGCATAAAAGCAAACAGTTGTTTTGAGACATTTATGTGATTTCTCTGTAATTATAGGAGAGATCATCATCAGAAAAGAGCAGGAAGAAGAAGGAACGAGCTCTAAAGGTCTTCCTACATGATCCTTTTTTTTGTCACGGTGCTCCTTTTTAAGCACTAAGACTTTATGAGGTTTGCAGCACATGCTGGATTAAACACACGTTGATGTTTTGGGTTCATAAATACATCAACAAATAGCAAGGTAAATAAAGAAATAATTTTAAAGTTCATGTTCAGTTTATTTATATAGCGCCAAGTCACAACATACGTTGTCTCAGAGCACTGTACATAAAAAGAGCAATCTAAAGAAGAAACCAGCAGATTATGTTGAATCACTTCATCACAGTCTCCCATCCTGAACAAACGGTGGAGAGGAAAAACTCCCTGCTAATCAGGAAGAAACCTCCAGCAGAACCAGGCTCAGGACAGGCGGCCTGCCTCGACCGGCTGGTTGGGGGACAGGAAAGAGACACAGACAAACACAGAAGAACTGGTCCAGGACTGGTCCAGGTGCACCTTCTTCTGGAAGAGACAAAGAAAAAACATGATAGAAATAATTACAATAAACACGTAGAGAAGAGAGACTAAAGACAACAGCAGAGTGAAGAAATGTGCTCAGTTTGTAAAAATATACTATCCATATAAGTCTATAGCAGCAGAAATGAAGAATAATTCAGGAAGCCTAAGTCTAACTATATGATTTATCATTAAATTAAAGTAGTTTGAGGGTGTAATGTCTGGATAGTCAAAATCTTGAAAACTGCATCAAGCTTCATCTTTGTGCTTGAATCCTCTTCGTCTTCACAGACACAAAGGAGCCTCTATTGATTTCCTCAAACCACATGCATGCAATATTAATGTTGTCTTGTATGATCTGGTAACTAAGCATCTATTTTAGCAGGTCAAAGAATAGATTCATGATGCATTTCATGTCAAAACATGAGAAATAAGTTTTTTTCATGCATCAGATGCATTATTTATCATGTTGCATCAACTCATTCTATTTTTTATCACTTTTACACTGCAGTAACACACAGCTTCAATACATAAAAATAATGTGCAAATAAATGAATTCAAAAAAAGATGTGAGGAATAAAATAAAACATTACATACATTTACATGTAATTTAACAAAAAACAAGCAAAAAACAAGACAAGCTAAAGGCAGCAGAACAATGGCTAAAAGCATCAGACTGTGGCTATAGACTAATAGCAACAGGACTGTAGTTAAAAGAAGCTGAAATGAACCAATCAGATACTAAATTTAGTTTTTAAACGCCTAAATTAGTCCTCAATGAGGTGATATCAAAAATTATGAAATAGCATCTGAAAAATACATATCAGTGTTTTATAACTGTATAACTAACTATATCTCAAATAAGCACTAATCATTAGTGTCTCATAGACAAATTAGCATGTCTTATAACTGCATATTAGTTTATCAGATGTATAACTAAGTCACTTCTAACTAGTGCAGTAAACCAAGATCATGGCTTAGCTTCTTGTAATAATAAGATCAAAATTATTAGATCAAATCATAATTTGAAGATGCTATGTTCTCATTGTTACATATTTGCCTACTTGTGAGCTGAGATAATTGTTTAATAATAAGGACCAGCTTTCATAACAATGATAGAAATGGACGTGCAAATATGATCAATATATATGGCATTACTTAAAACTCTTAAGTAGGCTAATTTAAAATCTATCGACTATATAGGCAGCACAACCAGAATTTTATTTTAATCAGGCGCTCATCCACCTCCTAAAGAGACCCAGCCCAGCTCAGGCCGACAGGAAGACAACAACACAGATCTTGCGATGTAAAGTTGGCGTTGTTTGAATATAATTTTTGAGTAAAAGGATCAGTAAAATGCCAATATTTGACAGCTTGGGGAGTGGAGGAGAGAAGACTGCGATTGTCATTGATTTAGGAGCAGCATTCACAAAGTGAGTATCAGTTTTTAGCGCATCTTGCTAACGGGGCTAGTTGCCGTGTTGTCCTAGCATGCTAACATGTATTATGTTGGTTTATTCTAGTTCTTGTTTTCACCGTGGGTTTATATAGGACAGCCTGGTGTAGACAGGAAATATATGACACTGAACATAGTATTATAAATTTGAAATTGCATGTTGCAATTGTGAAATTTTACCTACTAGCTCTAACGTAAACATAGCCTAACTAGCTGACAAGCTAAAACTGAGAGGTTTAGCCAAGTTACTCGTTTTATAAGCTAAATGTTGTATCAAAAAGCATCTCATTCATGCGAATACACTTCAGATCATGCCATGTAAAAGCAGCCAAGGAGCATGTTCACATCCAATGAACAGTCTTATTCTGACAGCTCAGCATCTGCAGCATTAGGTCCAATTCATTTATATTCAAGTCCATTTACTGAAAGTCTTCCTAATTCGACAATTATTCAGTGAATTGGTTACTAAATGTTATTCTAAGATATGTATTGAATTCTTTTCGATGAGACCTCTGACTTTTATTTTAACATTATATCAAAGTTTTTCCTCCTTTAAGAAATCACAGCACATGTGATCTTGTATTATGGATCACTTGGGTTGTTACCGACATCTGGTGAAAATTTCATGTCATTAGCACCTCTAGTAATATATTTACTGAGAAAAATGTTGATGTGTTCAATACTTATTTTACCCGCTGTATCAGGTTATTTCCAATCATCGTACTCTTCACAGATTTATTCCCGGTTTGCTTTTCCAGAGGAGAAAGAAACAAGACGTGAGAATCAAGGGGACTGCCCTGCTCTCCTCTTTAAAATAATGATTTCTTTGTTCATAGTTTTAATCCTGCAGTACTGCATAGAGAGTTCCACTGTTGTTTAATTTATAAACAACTATTCTTTATAGGGGTTTTGTTTGTGTGGATTAATGTTCTTTATCAAAACTTTTTGCACAGTTTGCGTGAGTGACTTTAAGTGTCTTAGCTTGAACTGGAGAATGTTAAAAAAGCATTCCTCATAGTCACTAAAACATTAACCACAAAAAGATCTTGGTTGTAGACGTTATGAAACAGTCACGAGTAGCGGCACAGATGATCAGTGTGTTTTCTCACAGATGCGGCTTTGCAGGGGAAACGGGGCCCAGGTTCATCATTCCGAGCGAGATCAGGAAACCGGGGCAGCAACAGGTGAGTCACCCTGGATTTGCAGTGAACAGCTGTTTGATAACGTCTGTGTTTTGACAATATGCAATGTTTCACTTTCAGGCCACCAAAGTGGTTCAGTACAACATCAACACAGAAGAGCTTTATGTCATCCTCAAAGAGTTTATCCATGTATTGTACTTCAGGTGAATATTTTTTTAAAATTAGTAATATTATTTTAATCATTTGTTGTTTACAGGAACGAAACAACTGAATTTGATCTTAGCATTTATAATAACACTGCAATGTTTGAGTACGAGATAATTTTTTTAGCTGTTTTCAGCAGTAACAGTACACAGACGCCTGCATAAAATAAATCCCTACTAGCATCAAATTGAAGTTTATCCTCTGGTTTTGCCTCAATCAGGCACCTGCTGGTGAACCCCCGCGACCGAAGAGTGGTGATCATCGAGTCCATCCTTTGCCCGTCCCACTTCAGGGAGACCCTCACCAAGGTTTTCTTCAGACAGTTTGAGGTACCATGACACAGCAAATTTTGGTTTTAATACAGTCTTATTGATTGTAGAATCTGGTGGCCAAAACACATCTTGCACAAGTTTTGTAAGCACTAAAACTGAATAACGAATAATGTCAGTTTGTCCTTTCAATAAATTAATCTGATGTTTAAGGAAGTATTAGGAAAGTTTCAGTTTGCACATTAAACCTGTTCAGTTTTAATTTCTATTATTTATTATTTTTTTATTTTTTCTTTTCAGGTCCCCTCTGTGTTKTTTGCCCCGAGTCACCTGATGGCCGTTATGACTTTGGGCCTAAACTCTGCTCTGGTGATGGACTGCGGATACACAGAGACACTCGTGCTGCCGGTATCCTTGATGTTTTATTGTGAGCTAATATTTTATTCTTCAAAAAGTCCAACTAACACAATGTGGTGTTGTGAAGACGGTTTTGAGTTTCATCTGATTAACGTTAGTGTCAAAGCTGTATTTTGATTCTGTGTTTTTATATCTGTGGAGAACCAAAACTGACATAATTAAAAACAGAAACATATAAATTGCCTAATAAATAAATACACTTAAAATGTGCCATTAATTTAAAAAAGGAGAACTTACCCTTGTGCTTTGTAGTTTAATTGACCATCATATTTTTTCCAGCTTATTTCCAACAATTATTTATACACATAATTTAAATTTTCCTTTTTTAAAAAATATTTTTGTTTTTTTCTTGTTGATGCATTTGTGTCTCAAATGTTTTTTATTTAAATTTTCTTCTTATTTTTCCTCATGAGTCTTTTAAATTCCATGCATTGTTTTTACGAGGATAAACTCTTACCTGCGTCTTTGTTTTAAACTAAACTTTAAGCTGATCTGAGGCAGGGCAAGCATGCACAGTCGATCTGCACATGGATCCTGCTCCTTCCTGTCTGTTGATCAATGGTAGAGCAGCAGACCCAAGAAGGGCCGCCCACATTGTTTGCATAATGAGGCAGAAGTGCATAAAGTAAAGTAAAAACAGGAGACAGAAAAATGTAAAAAGCCCTTAATGCTCCAGCTGCTCCCTGGGCTCCTTCAATGGCAGCCCTCTGCTCCACATCTGGGCTCATGGGGAAAAATGCAGAGTATGAATTTTCCCTATTAAGAGAATATAAAGAACTATATTAAAAAAAAAATCTCATTTTGATTGCATTTTGCATGCCTATTGTAATGCTCGTCGTAATGTTTCTTCTTTTTTTAATTTGTAAAAGCAGAAACGTTTTCATGATCAGGATTAGAATCACCTTAACTCTGGCCCCTCAGGTTTATGAGTGTATTCCTATTCTACCAGCCTGGGAGGCGTTACCACTGGGGGGGAAAGCTATCCATAAGTAAGTTGATCAAAGAAGCATTTTTCCCCCCTCACGCGTGACTGTACAAGTGATGCTTTCTGTGCTAACAGTTTGAAATCTTTGATGTTGCCACTTCATTGTTAATTGATTGCAGAGAATTGGATGCGTTTCTGGTGGAGCAGTGCACCGTGGACACAGACACCACCACTGGGCAGAGCGTACCAGCTGTCATTGGTAATTCACGAAAATCTCCACAATTTACACTTCTGTTTTTTAAAAGGGAGACCATTTTAAAACTATAAACACTGTAAATGATGTCTGGTTTTTCAGAGTACAAAGCCTGGGTGAAAACAAAGAAAATAACTGACTCATTAAGCTTAATTTACTCTTCTTTGTGACATTTGGATTCACTTTTTGTGAATTGTTCTGAGTCTTACAGTCTATTAAAAACAAAACAATTCCCACATATTTTCTCAAAGTGTGACTCTACATCTGTACATCATTAGTTCAAACTAAGAGGCTTCACTGGGCTGTTAAAGTGCATTTCTCCAGAAACGTCTTGATGTGTGTATTTTCTTCCATGTAACGTGTGTGGCGTGTGAGCTCAGATCAGTGACTGATTTGTAACTGTGGTGAAGTCTGCCAGACAAACACATGTTTGTTTAACACCAAGCTGTCACACTCCATTCACATCATGCTTCCTCAGCTACTGCTTGAGGCTTATGTTTCTGATYTGGTGACAAAATATAAATGAGTGAAGTAAAAAATAACAATTATCAGACACGTCATTTATTTTTCCTTTTTTTTTTTATCTTTTTTTTTCTTTCTCAGGAACTATCCCAGAAGAAACTGTAGAGGACATAAAGGGTAAGTTTGACATGAATTATTTTATTTTATTCACTTATTCACACCAAAGGTAGAATTATTATAAAACTACAACTAATAAATATTATTTTAGTTACATTTATTAAGTGGGTTAAAGTTCATGTTGAATAACTTGTCACCAGTCTTAATAATTAACTGCAGCCTGTTTGTGCTCATTGTTACCCTAGCTCCTATTGTTGTTCTTCATCATCATCCTCATCTTTTTTTCTTTATTTTTTATCTTCTACACCATCATGTCCTTTTTCTTCATCTTCATTTTGTAATTTTTTTCATCTTTTTCTTCTTTTATAATTTTCCTTCATCTTCTGTTTCCTCTATCTTTATCTTCATCCTTTTTCTTCATCTTCTTTTTCTTCTTCATCTCAGATTTCTTCTTTTTTATTATCTTCATATCTTTTCATCATCTTTTCTTCATCCTCTTCTTTTCCTCTTTGTCTTCTTCTTCATCATCACCTACTTTTTCTCTTTATCATACAGTGGGTAAAATAAGTATTGAACACGTCAACATTTTTCTCAGTAAATATATTACTAGAGGTGCTAATGACATGAAATTTTCACCAGA